CATCACCCCTCTGACACCATAGCCATCCACAGGTATTCTGAGCAATTGACTGGACACATGTCCTGGTGAGTGTGCTATGTCAGTTGCAGCAGAGTTCGCTTATACCCTTCATTAGAAGCGGGTGAAAATGTGGATGTAGGTCCAGCAGTGATAGCGAGGAATATGGAGAAGGGACACTGTGTGGGTTGATCCCTACCCCTGAGCCTGGTATAGTGCTGAACAAAGGTGGGATCTGAGGATCCATCCTGCAGGAACATTGTTTCAGGAGCTTTTACATAGCTCCCACTGGTCACACATTCTTGCGCAATATGGAGCACTCCAGTTTATCCTTTTGAAGACCGTTGAGAATAGACTCTGAAATGTTTTGCAGTGTATTTAAGAAACCTGACACAAAAGATTCATGAATGGACTTACAGAAACAAATTTCACATCATAACAAGGATATTTCTGACAGATTTATTCCTTGATTAATTCTATTTGGACATCTGATAATAAAGTGAAAACATCAGCATAGTCTGCTTCTTCAACCTCACTCTTCAGACTCTTCATAGTAAAATCATGTAATGTTTCAAGAGAATTCTCTTGTTGCCCCCAGGCTAATCCCTGGCTTTGAGTGTGCTGCAAAGCACATTACAGCATGTCCAAATAATCAGAATTACTGCTGGCAGTACAAGGAAGAGCTCAGCCCCAAGGACAACATCCAGTTTTACCATGCTCCCATGTAGCCAGCTGAAGATAATAAAAAGAGACCATTTCAACTAGAATTTTTTGTGATCCTTCAGTACTTAAAATAAAAATCTCAAAAATGATGCTGAAGGCTCATGGATGGCAAAGATCTTTGCATACAGCAAATATTTTAATAGCTCGTTTTCCAAATTTATTCCTGGCAGACAACACTTACATTTTTTTTCCCCTAAGTTTGTTTTGAGCCCTGGCAGTGTTTATTTTGGGACGAGAACTCCATGATGCTTCATCTCTGTTCCTCAGACTACACTCTGATGGAGCTGATGAAACACTTTAATGTTAACAGTAGTGGCACTATGTTCATCCTTTAGTTCATCTCCTGTGCTAGGCTGAGCAATATAGTCTTTCCCTTAAGCCTTTCAGGTAGCAACCAAGACATAGAGCCCCTGATTTCTCCTGCTGAGCCCAGAGCCTTGTCCAGCTCCTGCTGTAGGAGGGACCCTGTGGCACCCCCAGTGCTGCACATCTCAGAAAGTGCACAATGGCAGGAGGAGGAAAAGCAAGGTCTTTGCAGTGCCAGAGCATAAGGCATTTTTTCCATGAGGCACGTGTGGTTTTGTGGTTCAGGAAAATGTTCAGGACCTGACTTTCTATTCCCTGGAGTATTTACTTGTAAACCATAAGCCATGCACAGGATTATTTGGAGAACAAGAGCTGAAGTCTTAATTTTCAACTAAAAACTGCATTTCCAGACAGTTTGTAGATTCATGGCCTAAAGCTGTGGTGTGCATCAATATACCCAAAGGTGTGTCACAAGATTGTTTTGCAGAGATGGCTGAAGTGAGCCCTTGCTGGAGGCATCAGCACAACTCCCGTGACCCTCAGGAGATCAAGATTTTATTTAGAAATAGAGGTAGATGAAGTTCAGAGGCAGATGAAGTTCTCAGTCATGTTTCTAGTGCAGCCCAGCTGCTGCTGGGCTCATCCCAGAGCCAGTGCCCCATCTCTTGCAGAGGCAGCCCTGCCTGGAGGAAAACTCCTACCCATGCCTGCTGCTTCTGTTTTCCATCCTCTGGGGTTGAGTTCAGGGATGGTGTCCAAAGCGGGACACTGGAGATGAATGGAGAGGGAGTAGGCAGAAAGCAGCTCGCAGCCTTTCCTACCTGCAAAGCCAGGGTGTCTCAACTCACCCCACTGCTTCTTTCAGTCTATGTGTGGGAGCAGGGAGGAGTCTCAGCCAGCATCCCCATATGTGGTTGGTGAGGTGGGGGGAGCCTCTATTCCCCAGGGGACAGGGGAGGGAGTAGGATCTCAGGCAGTGCCACAGGGCAAATGAAGGAGGAGCTTTTATGTAGGTCATATTTGTCCACAATTAATTGCTGGAGGACAGGACAGAATGTGTGGAGGGGGCAGGGCACAAAGAAATTAATTTGACTAACCAGGCTTTGGAGAGGGCTGGATGTGCCACGTTATCAGGTATGTGGCAAGGGAAAGAGTGAGCCTGTGGCTTCACATTCATCATCAATGCTGAGAAAAGCAGCAGCGTGGCCACTGTCACCACCTCTTCATCACTCTTGGCTGCTCCTGCATCTTGCCCTGGTGCTGGTGCTCTCTATGTGGTGAATCTGATGAAAGGATTAGACTCCTGGGGAAGTAATTCAGCAAAACATTGGTTTGGATTTCGGTTTGGGTTTCTTCTGTTTGGTTTTTGGTTTGGTTTTGGTTTGTTTCCCAAAAAAAGGGAGGTCATTTTTTGGCCAGATCACCCATCTGAGCAGGTTTGCTTTAAAGCTGTGCTAGCAGAGCTGAAGTGATGGCACAGGGTCAGGATTAAGGAGGAAAGGGCAGGGAACCCAGCTGAGCCTGCAGTGCACGCACAGAGGAAACCCCAGGGTGCCATAGCTGCAAGAGCAAAAGCCAGTTCCTTCAGGAAGCTGCCTCTCTCATGCATATGGGAAAGGAGTTCAAAGCTGATCTTCAGACAAAATCTTTATTTCTTAGATTTTGATATTGATCCTCCAACTTTTCCGACCGGCAGTGCTGAGGTTTGCATGCTTTCCACCTATAGCTTTCCATAGGTCTTTCCTTCTTCAATTAAATGACAGTTCTTGCAAAGGGGCAATATCTGCAAAGCTGAGTAAGGAAGGAGGAAATTTGCAGTAAAACAACCACACATCGGTGAGAAGCAGCGAATTCACTGTAAGTGAATGAAATGAAGGAGGGACAGGTGAGCAAACAGAAACAGGACAACTCATTTCCTTGCGCTGTGGATGGTGGGGTGCATCCCCACTGGACTTTATGGCTCTTGGCAAAATGATTCTAGGGCCTGTTTTGCCCTTGTGCTCAGCACGGCTGGTGGTGTACTGGTCCTGCGCGCTGCAGCAGGAAGCATTCACCAGCACACCAGCCCCATGGGGATTTCCCCCACTGTCCCCAGGCTTGTTTTGTTAGAGTTACCTGGAAGTTCAGGACTAAGGGTACAGCTCTGTCTCCCTGTTTCCTTCTTGCTGGTGTATCCTCTGCCTGTTGTACATGCGGATCCCAGCATATGCTCCAGATCTGGCATTTACAGCTTGGTAGTTTCCTGCAAATTTCCCTGGTGGGGATGCAACACTGACTGACTGACCTTGCACTTTGGTACATGAGATAAATGTTTCCATTGTCTGCTGATTTTCCATATTTATGAGATTGTAAATGTTCCTTCTGTCTATAGGGATCCCATTCCTTAAAGTGGGCTCTGTGACTGCATCATAGGCCTGGTGCTGGCCCACAGCAACTGGAAAGAGAAACGCTGTACAGGGAATGGGGGCACAGCCACGCAGCTGTAACCAGCACATAAACATGAGGATGCACAAAGGATGGACATGAGGTGAGTCTGGAGGGATGCCCCCTCCGTCCACATCTCAAGGTGTGTCATGTCTTGATGACACAGGATGTGGCTCCTTGGGGAGTGGAGGGGATAGGCAGGGGGGAGCCCTGGGAATGGGGGAAGGAAGGGCATGGGGATTGGACAAGGGTTGAGGAGGAAGAGTATGGTTTGAGAAGTGACAGGGGAAGAAAGGGTGTTGGGCAAGGGCCAAGAGGGAGTACTGTCGCTATGGAATGTTATGGGTAAGTATGTTTGGTGGGTAGTTGGTGGTTTGAGGGCTATGAGTGGTGAAGGGACTCCCTGTGCCCTGCTGTGTCAAGCAACAAGGTATGTTAAAGAATCACACATGCTGAAGACATGTGTAAGTAATGCTTCCAGCTGCACAGTGATTTCAATGATGCTTTTTCTTCACCAGGAGTTGCCACTTCAAATGTTGCAAGGCCCTTTGCACCCACAAGTGCTTTATAAACAGAAAACCATCCAGTCTGTGTCTGAACCCAGACCTGATCTGTGGGGAGAGGGCAGAGGGTGGGAAGAGACTCTTTCAGAGCGCTGGGATGGAGTGACTGCAGCCATTAGCCCTGCACCATGCAGCCATGGGATGTGCGCTGCAGGTGGAGGCTGAACACACAGCGAGTGGGGACCAAGCTGTGAGGATGCTGCAGCACGGGGCTGGCCTCTGCTGTCACCTCCTGGCACCAGTCCCTCACCATCTGGCTGATTTCTGGGCCCAGTCCAGCATTCTGTGTGTTTTTGCAGGAATTGCCAGTCTTTGGCACTGCACATTCCTCATTTGGATGGGTGATGAGATGATGATGATGAGAACTCTGCTGGAGGGAGGGATTAAACACACCCTCCCAGCACCTCCCAGCACTGTATTAGTCACAAAGGTCACATCTATTAACAGACAGTGCTGTAGTGTGTGGCAAGTGGGTCACATGTTACCAGCTTCTTGTTTCCACCCAGTAATTTGTGCTAAAAGGGAAGTAATTTAGTGTCAAACAATTTCTATGGGACCGGAGGTCTAAGGCAGGGAAGAATGCTGCTTCCATCCGCTGCTTATCAGGAATGGGGAAAGAGGGGGGAAAATACCGAAAGGCTTTGTCTATAAAAGCTATTTACTTAAATTCCCCAAGGGGGGATGAGAGCAAGAAGGGAAGCAAGAAGCACACAGAAAAGCATTGCTCCTACTACCTTTGTCTTTACAAAGAGAGAGCACTGGCAGACCCTCCCCCATATGAGCTTTCTAACAAGACCTCCTCAAATGAGACGTTGGGCATCTATGCATCTGTCTACACAAGCTAGAATTGCCTGAGTAGTGGAAATTAAATGAGAAAACCCAGTTCCTGCTATGGAGCATGTCCGTGGGGCAAAGCTTGGGTTTCTGCTTGAGGAAGAGTTGGCAGCAGCCAGCACAGCTGCAGAACGAGGTACTGGTACAGCTGTTAGGGCTGCTGTGTGGTAAATGAGATCAGAGAACTAAGCTGGCTGGAAAATGGCTTTTTTTCCCCTTTTCTCTTTTTCTTCCCTTTCAAATGGGTGAGTTTTCAGCCAGATCAGCTTCCCAGGCCAGTTCATGGTGCAGCTGCGTGTTGGCTTGTGATGACATGACCTGAAGACAGCACAAAATGGACTGAAAGCACAGATGGGAGGGACTCCTTTCAAAGGGAAGTGCTTATCAGACTACAGCCTGAGTGAGCTCTGAAGCTTCTCTTTCCTAACTGCTAACAAAAGCTCTGTTAGGCACTATCCTCCTCAGCTGCCATGAGGCTTTGCACTGGGGCATGTCTGCTCTTCTTCTGAACATCTGTCTTTGGATGCCAGCGTCCCCTCCTCACTGGATGTGTTCAAGAGAAGCAGATGTGATAGAGAAGACAAACAGGAGGATGGACACCGAAAAGCTGGGTGAGACCCACTGCAACCTCCTGCACCCAAAATGCATCCTTGAATAGTGTGCATCAATGTGTGGTCCCTGCAGAGATGTCCAGCTTTGCAAAGCCGGTATCTGAGCAGCACACAGACCAAACGTGACACAAAGGTAAACACAGAGATGTCAAACTGCAGTGTCAGAGCCAAATTACTGCAAAATGGGGTATTTTGGGATTTTTTTTTATTTATTTTTTTTTTTGGTTGGGTCGGTTTTGTGTTTGGTTGGGGATTTTTTTGTGAGGGGGCTGTTGGTTGGTTGGTTTGTTTATCTTAATAGTGAAAAGAAGAAACAACCTCAGTTGCTGAGGCCTCATGGCATCAGGCTGAATAACAGGACAAGGTGGGCTGAATGGGGCAAACGTCTGTAAATCTTTTTATAGGAATGCTGTGTGTCTGTCTGTGAATGCTCTCCTAGCTACACTGGAAGAAAACTGATAAATCCTAATGGATAGTGTGAGAAATTACATTACTCTTCCCTGGGTGCGAGAGCATGATTTCCTCCCAGGCAATACATTTTACAGGAATCTTTTCGACCCCTAGGCTGAAGGACATTTTTCAGCAAGCTGCTTCCTTTGTGCATTTCCCAGTGCACAGCTGACATGAACAGACATGGCACGTCACAGCCTGGAACGATTTCCAGTCTCGGTTCAGGTCAGCAGCGGTGCCATGTCTGCAGAGCAATTTGGCACATTTCTAGCTTAACCCAGTTAATCAGATCAGCTTCTTAAAATGATTTTGTTTTCAGCACTCCAAGAAAAGCAGCCTACTTCAGCTGAAAGAATAAAAGAGTCTCCTCTCGAAACACCGACCATAATGTGAGCAGCCATTGAGAAACTGCATGTGGGAGCTGTAATCCAAACAAAGATCAGTCCTACAGAAAAACACAACCACAGAACAGGAAAGGCTCATTTCAAGGTCATTACCCGAAATGGTTGTTGTTGGTATGAGAGAGAATCATGATATTTAGGAATGTCCACTGGAATGTGAAACACTCTTCAGTTCTGGGAAAAAATGTATTTATTTTGCTGATTGATGCAATAATCAGTGCTTTGAGTAACTAATGAATGGTGGTTCCTTCCATTTAAAAGGAACATTTGGAGGCCATATTTCTTAAGCTGAGATACCCTTAAGGGAATCTGAAACTATGGGCCTTTTGGGGGGCTTTGCACTTGCCTTAGGGCCACAACTCTGATTTCTCATTATTGGATTATGTCACATTTGGAGTGAAGTAGAGGCAACTCTGCTCATTTCAAAGAGCCTGTTAAAAAAGATTGTAAAAGTAACTGCGCTGGGGGCAATACCTGCAGAGTAGTTATTATTTAGGATTACGCAGGATCTGCAAAGGAATATCTTTACATTCCAAATTTACTCGGATCCGATCAGGACTCAAACCATTCTGGCACATAGTTAAGAAACACAGATAAACTGCAAATTCTGCCTGCACAGACTCACCTGTGCTGTGTCTCCTGATATCTTGGAGATATTCTTTGAGCCTGAAACTCCCCACTTCCCTGCTTGCCTTTATGTCTCTAGGGCTTGAGCTGCTGAAGTCAGTGGAAGCTTTGCTCCTGATTACAGCAGGACATGTCTGGGCTCAGCCTGAGCATCGATGGAGTTGAAACAGCAGCTTTTTCTTCTGCGTCTTTATCTACACCTTTGGACTGTGGTTTAACTGTGCCAGTTTCACCCAAAACCCTCACTTACCTCCTGCTTTGCTGCTTGCTGCCACCTTTGCTCCCTTTGGGATTCCAGTCTTTACTTGAGTCCTATCTTATCTATTTTTGACTCCAGGTAAGAACAGCAGTGCTGCTTTAGACCATCTAACCCATCCATCTACTCTGCCTCCAGCAGTGGCCATAAGCAGACTCCTAAGAAAAATAAAGAACAGACTAACATATTGATTATTTCTCCATTATTACCACAGCTTCCAGCTATCTTCAGCTCAGAGGATTTCCCAAAACTGCTGTGGTTTGCCTGTGGCATGGACCCATCCAAATACTTGGGAGAGCATGTCAGCTCCTTGCAATCGCAGCATGTTTTGGAAAGGACATTCTTGGCAGATCCACTGCCTGCTGCATAACAAACTTCTTCCTTGTGTTTCCTTTGAACTTGGCTCCTATCAGCTTCATTAGCTGGCCTGTCATTGTCCTGGAGACACAATCAACACTTGATCCCTATCCACTCTCTTTGTGTTACTAATGATTTCATAGATTTCCATGTACCCCATCTCTTTTCCAGCTTGAGAAGCGCCTCTCTCCTGCACTGATCCTTGTACAGAAGTTGTGTCATACCTTTACTGATCCTGTACTCTTTGAACCTTTTTCAGCTCTCCTCTGTTCCTCTTGATAAAGAGGATTTATTACTTTTTTTTTTTCACCCTAGTTGTCAGCCAAAGTTTGAATTGTTTCAGTTAATTCTTTAGAGTCAGGATTGTTTCAAAACCTAACTGTTTATTTACAAAGAACAGGCACTGCCTTCTTGACTTAACATGAGGAAACACTTTGCTCGCAGCTCCAAGCTCTGTTCCAGCTAGAGGTTCATGCAGTTTATACTACCAGGCTGTCGTGGTTTAAGCCCAGCCGGTAACTCAGAACCATGCAGTCTCCCTCTCACTCCCCCCTCTTCCTCCCCTGCTCCTGGAGGGATGGGGAGGAGAATCGAAAGAATGTAACTCCCACGGGTTGAGATAAGAACAGTCCAGTAACTAAGGTATAACACAAATCACTGCTGCTACCACCAATAACAATAATGATAAGGGAAATAACAAAGGAAGAGAATACAACTGCTTTCCACCTGTCAACTGATACCTATCCCGACCCGACCCAAGCAGCGATCTAGCCCTTCTGGGTATCTGCCCCCAGTTTATATACATGACATGACGTGCTGTGGTATGGAATACCTCTTTGGTTAGTTTGGGTCAGGTGTCCTGTCTCTGCTTCCTCCTGGCTTCCCCTCCTCCCTGGCAGAGCATGAGCCTCACAAAGTCCTTGGTCAGACTAAATGTTACTGAGCAGCAACTAAAAACATCGGCGTTATCAGCGCTGTTCCCAGCCTGAAAGTCAAAACACAGCACTGCACCACCTATTAAGAAGGAGAAAAATGACTGCTACTGCTGAACCCAGGACACAGGCAACACCCAGCAATGCATTTGCAGGCACAGCTCAGCTCCCTCAGAAGACTTGTGTCATGTGCTTGAGTTTTGGATGGTGGCTCCTATTCTGGATAGTTGATTCCATAAAGTACATTAATTGCTCCCTTTTGCTTAATGGGAATAAATAGGGCCACAATACTTCCCATTTCCAACCAGCTTTAACACAGTCTATGGTGGAAGGGACTTCATAATAAGCCAGTGGTCTTCCACTTGTGTTGTTCCAGAAGGAATGAGCATATTCAGTCTGAAAACTCCACTTTCTTCCACCAGCACAGTTCAGTCATTCAGCGTCTCCCTCTCATAGACATCCCAACTCTGTGGAACCCCTGGCACAGTCAAGACTTGCAGTAGTAATAACATGGAATTCCACTGCTGGAAGAAATGCTAAAAAGGCTCAAGTCATTTAAAGATTAACCTGCTGGTTAGGCTTCCCACGTGGAAAGTAGAACGTAGTACCTTCTACCTCTTCTTGCTTTCAAGGATTTGTAAGGGACTGTCTCTAATGAAAAGGTTGGGGAGACAGGGAGTTAATTTGGAAACCAGAGCTGGCTTCAATGACATTCAGAAATTGCCACATCCTTTTTGAACAGCACATAAAACTTCCAATGTGTCTGTGCAATTCAAAAAATGTATGTGCCAACCACTGACTCCAGCTCCTGCCTCCAGATCTTTGCTTCTCTTTCATGTGGGAACATCTCAAGGCCTTTTCCAATGATTTTTTTCTTATGGGTACAGTGTGATTTTTCCTCCCTCCATTCAGACTGGTCCATACCACAGACTTGAACACTTCACCGAGCACCTGAGGTAAGTGACACAAGTCTGAGGAGACCTGCAGCCTGCTCATGTTTTTTACGATGTTGCCCAACATGATTGCCCATAACCACATTCAGCCGCAGCCGTGCCCTATAGAGCAGCCAGGCACTATCACCATAATTCTCCACTTGCAGGTTCTCTTATTTCTGCCTGGTGTAACACAAGTCACTGCACAGCCGGAAGGGTTGTAATCCTGGGATGTTCTCTTTAGTGGTTGGGCTTTTCCCAGCTATGTGCTAGCAAGATGTGCTCTCCACTCTGCTACAGAGGAAACAGCACAGTGGACTTGCTGACAGTAACCTGCTGCTGCTTATTCTTCACTGCAGAGGACACAATTTTTTTTGTTCAAGACACAATATTCCTTTTCCTGTTATGGCTGCCGTTTCTCACTCTTTACAAGGGTACATATTTTCAGCTTAATGTGTCTGTAAAGAGCAAAACCAAAGAAGCCCTCCAGTTGTGCGAGTGATGTTACAGCATAGAGTCATAGGATGGTTAGGGCTGGAAGAGACCTTAAAGATCATCCAGTTCCAACCCCCCTGCCATGGGCAGAGACACCTCACACTACACCAGATCACCCAAGGCTTCATCCAACCTGGCCTTGAACACTGCCAGGGATGGAGCATTCATAACTTTCTTGGGTAGCCTGTTCCACCACAGACAGTGATTTTTGAGACTACACCAGCCAATTCTACACCCAGGGAGGGGAGGAGGCTGTGGTCTTGCCTCCTGTTGTTAAACTCCCACTGCTGAGGGAAGGGTGTCAATGGAAACGAGATACCCTGATCTAGATAAAAATGGCCGATTTATCCAGACCCATGTGAGATGGCTCTGCAACAGGAAGAGAGACAAGTTGCAATGATTTCCACTAGCAATCATCAGCAGTTACTATTGTGCCAGCTTTTCTGTAGTAATCTCAGGCTTTCAAACTTTTGCTAACTAATCAAAAATCCTTCTTTGGCTGAAATTTGGCACATGAAATAAGAATTTATTAGGAATACCTGGTGTTTTTCTGTTCTTGTTTTGGTGATTCCTTCTGGTTATTGCAAATGTAAGAGCATATTTTTTTCTCATCTCTAAGAGCATCATTAATGGACTTAGAGAGCTTGTCACTTGTTAATCTCTATCTGTCATACAAAAAAGACATCACTATTATATGTAGTCTAGTTTTTGTTTTAATTTTTTGCTGACTTATCTCCTTCTGAGTGCAGGCTTGCAACAGGCTTGCAACAGGTGCTATTGCAGGCTTATTACCCATAACCTACGTCTGCATTTGCACAACAAACTTGGAAGAAAGCAGCAGATCGAACATGTCTTTATGCATAAAAGTGGACTTAATTCTCTATTGCTTTTCACTTGGATGGAACAAGCGCAATGAAACTATATTGTATGTAATGTAAGGAGCTCTACGAAATGCAAAGCAGTGGAAAGGAGTGGCTGGTGGCATCGTACAGCTCTAGAGTCCTTTGACTCTTTGTGGTTCAAGATTCACTCAGGTGTATCTGAGACCTGAGTGGTATTATCTTCACTTTAAAGTTTTGTAATAATGAAGAGGCACCATGCTAACAAGAGAAAAGCAAACCACAGTTATCTCACTTGAAGTGGTACAAGCCAATGAGTTATGATTAAACATTCTTTTTAATTGGATATTTCACATAATTCTTGCTGCAAATATGAAAATGCAGCATGGCTTGTTGTGTTTCAAGTTTGTACTCTAAAATATTTTGTTAGAAACTAGTGACCTCACCTCTAAGATGTAATTAATAGAACTTTCCTACAACATATGTGATGTAAGTAATTGCATTTCCCTACAAAATAAAGTAATGCTCTATACATTTATTATTCATTCCATTGCTGGTTAGCTTGTCCTTAATCCAATAATAAACCTTTAGTTGCTCAACTCTGAGAAGATATTTTTGATATCAAAAAGCTAACAAAATCTGTAGTGTTTGTGAGTGGGGAAGCAGACTCAGACTCTACTAATGATTAGCTCTTGGTACACAATCACTTGGAACTTGTCCAAACAGCAGTTTTTGCAAAATTTGGCCTTGTATTTACAATGCTCATTCACAACGTTATACCCATAAATAGCCACTCTTAGGCCAAAATACATATACATAAATATGTTTTATTTAGGTTTTATTTCAGCTAGGAAAACCTTCTGATGCAGTTTGAGCAGCAGCTCAACCTGAAGTAGAGGCCAGGAGCCCACAGTGGAGGGTGGGGAGGGTGAAGGACCTCATCAACCACTGCAGTTAAGCAAAATGCTTGTTAATCTTTGCACTTAGTGTACAGTGAGCATGAGGGAGTGAGCTCTCACCTGGAAGAGTATTTGGAGAGAAGTAGCAAACATGCTATAAATTAACACCCTTGCTGACTTAATGGAAACCTTCCTGCCTTAACAACCTGCTAGACAGGGGTGTGATTGATCCCACTACCCAGCAATGCTCCCTACCACAGGAAGTCTGTGTACGCTGTGACAGACGGGTGGAAACGAGCGCTGTGAGAGCAGCTGTCCCAGCCAAAGACCTGGCCATGTCCACAGCATTCTCAGCAATGGGATCACTGGGTGCTGCACCTGTGTGTGTGCTGTAGCCACGGGAGATCTGCCACCAGCAAGGGCACAGCTGAGATTTATTAAAAGGGGCTGTGAGTTAAACAAACCACAAACAGCCTGAGCGTGCTGTGGTTCAGCTGGACTCAGCTGGCTCTTTGCCCCTGAAGCTTCTCTCTACCAGGAATCTGACTACAAAAACATAACTCCTGTCATGCAATGTTGCACCAGGCGGGGTCACAAGTGCACTACTGAGAGCATGGGTCTAGCCCTGCATCTACCACTGGGTCCTTCTCTGCATCTCTATGGGAGACATCAGTCCCTCTTCTTTATTGTAAGGAATTCTGTGGAGTGAATTGCTAAACCATCCAACATCTCAGCCATCTGGGAGACGACTGTAAAAACAATTGCTCTGTCAGCTCTTTCTCATGCCTCTTCTGTGCATACATAATCCCACCAGGGGATCTGGGCTAGCAGATTGTTTTGTTATAATCAATGACAAATTTGCTAACAATGAGTATCTTGCTGTTGTTATTTCATGCATATTTTTGAGAGATGCTGTCTGAGGGGATGGGAGTGGGGAGCTGGGGAAGCACCAAATCAGGAGGCACTGGGAGGTTTGAATCTGGCATGGTTAATCCTAACAAAAAGTTATTTCCAGCAGCTTGGCTTGCAGGAATGAACTGGGAGGTTCTGTCCACAACTGGCCTTTGCTGTCAGGAGCAGGCTTTTTATATGCAAACCTGCTGGTGCAAGCAGTAGAGGAAGAGTATTTCCTTCAGCTGG